CCCCCCACACAGTATCTTAGATGCAACAACCTGTGGTTTACCAGAAACTTCATTAGAAAGAATCCTTCAGTAGAGGATAGAAGATTTCGTTCATTCTATTAGGTCCATCAAAGCCACATAGATAAGCTCTTACAACCCCCTGAGAACTGGGCAGAAAGTGAGCTCAACAACTGTCCTCCAGCTATAGTCTGAAGAGGCATTTTTCAACAATCCAAATGCCAATATTCAGAGCTGAGGGTAATCCAGGTACCAGCCCTGGTGGCAGACATGGAAATCAGAAGGTTCTCTCTTCACTCCAGGATGAGTGAATGAAAGGAAAAGGAAAAACAGAAGCTACAAGATACCACAGAGCAAAGTTATACTGAGAACTTGTAGGGAATGCAGGTCCTGAACATTATTAAATCTAGAAATACAGAAGTAAAATCTAGATAACTGAAACGTGTTGTCTATAAGCAACACAAGACCTCTGTCAATAAAATAGGACCAAAACACCGTGAAGGGAGAACAGGATATGACAACAGGCAACAAGATGAGATGAAAACGCAGCTTTGTGAGATGAGAATGGAATCCAAGGAAGACAAAAGGATAAGAGCAGAATTTAAACTGAATTGAGAAGAAATCAGTGTGACAAAAATATCAAAGCAGTGATATGAATGAAAGATTCCCTTCAGAATTTAGAGAAAAAGAAGGTATAACTATAAATTACAAGATGTCATATAAAGAAAAGAGATAGCAGAGATCACATTTCTCTAAGGAAGAAATTTTAAAATATCAGATCAGGAGCAACAGTTCAAGTTACAACTGACAAAAACTTTATAAAGCTGAAAAAGAACCCAAAAGAGGGCAAATCAAAACATCTCACCATTTTCTAGGAAAAATAATTAAATGACATCCATTCTATAGACATATCTTGACAATATTCTTATGATTAAAAAATTAAAAGAAAAACACCTTAAGCATTTAGGCAGAAAAAGCAAGTTATAAACAAATGAATAAGGTCAGGCAAGACCCAGTGTTCTCTACTATAATATTTAATGCCCAAATGTAATGGACCATGATTCATAGATCTTTGAGGGAAAAAGGTTTTGGTCCAAGAATTTAATTAGTCTGTTAAGTTGTTGTTCTTTTGTGGAAGATATACTCTTAGATATACAAGGTTTTAGAAAACAAATCACCTCAGTGGAAAAAAAAAAAATTACCTGAAATCCTGTTCTAGCATATTGCGTGCTGAATCAAAATTAAAAGTTCAAGAATGGATCAGCAGTAGTTAAAAAAAAAGAAGAAGAAGAAGAAGCAACAGTAAGCTTTGAAACCAGATAAGCAAAAAACACATCTTAAAAAATGGCTGTAAGTAGAATCACAGAATTGAAAACAAATGTCAAATTATTCATGAAATAGAATTTTTTTCTTAAAATATTAAACATATCATGTAAAAATAATAACTTAATGATGATCTGGGTCCCAAAATTTAGATTACATTAACAGAGGCTAGGGAAAAAAGGGTAAGCATAAAAGGGAAAAAAAAGAGTATTAAATTATTAGCCTTCTCCATCAGGAGCAAGGGAGAACGAAGAAAACTAAAGACACAAGGGGAAGATTAATCCAGAGGACTAATGGACCACAACTACCACAGCCTCCACCAGACTGAGTCTAGTACAACTAGATGGTGCCCATCTACCAACACCAACTGCTCTGACAGAATCACAGTAGAGGGTCCCAGATAGAGCTGGAAAAAATGTAGAACAAAATTCTAACTCACAAAAAAAGAACAGACTTACTGGCCTGACAGAGACTGGAGAAACCCCAAGAGTAGGGCCCTTGGACACTTTTTTAGCTCAGTAATGAAGTCACTCCTGAGGTTCACCCTTCAGCCAAAGATTTGACAGCCCCATAAAACAAAATCAGACTAAAGGGGCACACCAGCCCAGGGGCAAGGACTAGAAGGCAGGAGGGGACAGGAAAGCTGGGATTAGGAAACCCAAGTTCAAGAAGGGAGAGTGTTGATATGTAGTGGGGTTGGTAACCGATGTCATAAAACAATAGTGTACTAACTCTTTAATGAGAAGTTGGTTTGTTCTGTAAACCTTCATCTAAAGTACAATAACAAAAAATTATTAGCCTTACACTGCCTTAAAGTGATCATTAGTAGGTATTTAAAAGTCATATTCTTTCTAACTCCCTAGAAGAGATAAAAACAACCAATACATGATCTAAATTGCTAAAACCAAATATCAAGGGAAATAGCAAGGAACTATAAAAGATAGTTGATAGACATAACATTAAACATAAATGAGAAAAACTGCCTGTTTTAAAACAAGATCTTTCAGTTACATTACAGGTTATCAACAGCTAAATTAAAGACACACACACCTCAAATCAAAAAAACACAAATAGTTAAAGAAAATACAAACAAAAAGAAAGCAAAAAGAATATTAATTTTAAGTATAAATTCAATGCAAAAAGCATTAAATGACATTAAAAGGATAATTTTATGTTGATGAAAGTGACAATGTGCAATGAAGTCATGATTTGTGAAATGTGCACAAATAATGTAACATCAAAATAAGTGAAACTTACTAATAAACAAGAAAAATTTTATATAAATACCATTTTTATGGAAAACTAGCAACTCACTCAGACTTTAACAAAGAAAAAATACAAAGAATAAGGACACTGGGATTTTGACTATCTATATAATGATTTATATCATACCATGTTTTTAAGATCAGATACGTTAACTTTACAATTAAAAATAAAAATACACCTATGGAACAGGATTATTTACCAAAAACTGCGAGATAGTGCATGTCATATTCTCTTACCCGATGTAAAAAATGTAAAGTTAATAACCAATTTTAAACCATCAACATCTCTCCCCCTCCTCACCCAAGAAAAAAAAATGTAAATCTTAAAACTTCTAAAAACTTGTGGACTAAAGATCCATTTATAGCACTGGCAGGGGTGAGAAGTGTTTGGATTTTATATATATTTTGAAGATAGAGCCAAGAGGGTTGCTGATGGATTGAATGTGGGATGTGAGAGAAAGAAAGGTAATACAGACTTTGAGATTCTTCACAGAGCATCTGGCTGGAATGATGGAGCTGCCATTAACTGAGAGGCTCAGGTTTTAGGTGGGCACAGGATGGGGAGATCAGGAGCTCAGTTTTAGACTTGTTACATTTGAGATGCTATTTAGATATGCACGTGGAGACATCTAGTAGTGAGGTATACAAGTATGAGTTATAGGAAGGATAACACTTGTGGACACAAAGCACCAACTCTAGCCATTATCAGTCACAGGCTGGTAAGTTGTTAAATCAGATGTACAGCACTGGAAAGGTTTATGTAAACATGTAAACGTGTTTAGCAATGGATCCTCTTCTCAGGGAGTTTGCTGTCTGGAGAGAGAAAGCACAAAAACAGCACACATGAGAACCGAGAACTTACTGGAACACTGGAATGACTCCTTCCCCAGAAGCGTTTTATCACAAACCAAACACTGCAGAACCCCAGAGAATGTTCCAGGGACAAACTGATGCCGACTCAGTTTCTCTTTCTCTTTGGCATCCTTGTTTTTCATCTTCAGATACAGCAGCAGCAGCAGGAAAGTGGGGGAAAATGAGAAAGAATGTTGTGAGCTAATCTTACAGAAGTTACACAAGCAAAATCTCTACACTTACTATTATAATACAAGGACTGCAAAAAAGGAGTACACTAACTTCAAAATATAATACTCCCCAAGATGCAATTGTCTTAATATTTCTAATGACTTGGACAACATTCCGTAAGATATACAGAGCTTTTCAAATATGTGTATATAAACTCTAAGATAAGTGATACTAAAGAGAAAGTGGAAACCATATTAATCGCTGAGAAATTGAGCCATCTCTGTTTTATGGAAAATAGATGCAGAATCCTTATTACCTTAGATTTATTCCGAGGGCTATTAATTCTATTCATGAGGAAGCTGAAAGTTCGGCTCACTTTATATTTTTCAGACTCCAGTTTGGCAGGTATAATGTATTTGTCCCATTCTTCTTCCTGAATCCTACAAACAAGAATCTGTTATCATGGCTTACAGGACTTAAAAAAAGGTGCGAAGAACAACAAATATATTTTTTCAGGTTTTAATGGTTGTTTTAATGATAAAGATAGAAACTACTAAAATATATCTTACAGATAGATGGATAAGTGGATAGAAATGTTATAAAGCAAATATCATACAGTGTTAACAACTGTAGAACCTAGGTAGTGGGAAATAGGTATTCTGTATATAATTCTTTAACCTTTTCTATATATTTGAATTTTTTCATTAAAAAAAAATTGAGGAAAGAAAGCAAATCCTAGACTTATAATTTCACTATAAAAATATTCTGGGCAAATGTAGGCGGCTGTTTGAGTCCATGTTTCAAATCTAACTTAACTATATTGTATTCATCTACATAATAATTAGGTACTTTAGGCAATACCTGAAAAGAGAAAATCCTCAACTGATTTCATATTAGAATTTAAGTAGCTTTCCAATTCATAAAAATCTAGAAAAAAATTAATTTAGCCTCTTGCCAACATCCCAGGACAATATCCTAATCTCTATTATCAGTTTCATGACCAATGGAAATCACTCAGAATAAAGTTTTCTAAGCCCCATTCTTCAGAAAGCCTTCTGATACTACCTTCTCAATATGTAAACAGATATTTAAAATATTTTTAAGAATATGGATCCTCAATATCTTAATCCTTCTATCTATTACATTTATTACCTTCTATTTTTTAAATGATCTGAGGTTAAAAGGACTTAAAAGAAGTTCCCACTATTCAAAATGGCAACTGTGACAGAAGGATCTTCTTTTAATACTCAGATGCTCAGGTCTCTAAAAATACAGAAGGTAATAGATGTAAGAGATTTAAGACAGATGGTGGCAATAGCATAACTGAGTCATGCAATATAATCTTTAAGAAATTGGATAGATGTAGTTAGTGTCTGCTGAAATGAGCCTACAAGATCTGGAGTGGGCTCCTTTTTTAGCCAGTTGCTTCCTTTTACAGAAATTAAGTAATAAGTACAAATAACAATTCCAAAGAAGACACGCCCTACAGAACCTAGTAAATACTACATAAAGCATGAGAAAACAAAGCATCAGGTATGGTAGAGGATCTTACTGTCATATCTAAAAAGATGTCAGGAATACAGAGGTAAGATGGATGATCTACTTTACTAAATACAAAAATGGATATTGACTGAGAAAGTCAGATGCTCGCTCACAGGATGTAGACCAAGAGAGATTACAGAACAGAAAGAAAGAAAGAAAAAAAAAAAAAACAGATTGAGTGATAGGGAATGAGGAATAAGAGAGAAAGAGGTGCTCCCTACACATCCCATCCAAGTTAAAGCATTTTATAGGCTTATGAAGCTGGCTCCTCCAGTCTTAAATGCCTCTCCTACGAGCAAACAGATATTTTTTATTTTTTTTTAAATCTTTACAATCAGTCCATTACTTCTCCAATTTGTTAAAAAGAAGACAAGGGGAAGATGGCAAATCAAAATGACAACCAGGATGATTAGCAAATTCCAGAATTAGAAAGTAAATCACTTAAGTGAGGTAATAAATACAAGGTGCTGAAAACAGTAATATGCACATAAAAGCATTCAATAAATGTCATTTACTGGTGCTCTTGCTATCATCATCATCATCATGAGGTTATCTCCATCATTATTCTATCCTTAAAGGGCATTCTTAGTCTTCCTCTATTTTTACCATTAGAAAGTTCCTATCTTGGTCTCAATAAAAATAGGAATGAACAAAAGGAAGCTTTTTCTTATTGATACCTTTATTCAAGATTTAAAACAAAACAGTCTGCCTTAATCTATATATTAAAAGGTTTCAGAGTTTTATCATTACTACCACCAAAATGAAAAGCCATTTTCCTCTTTTTTGTATTGCATCTTAAAGCCAAACATTTATGCCATTCCCGATGCTGTTTTGCACAGGCTTTGGCAGTCCCAGGGCTATTTCACAGTGTGACTCATAAGCAATTACAGACCAACAGAACTCAACAATCATGCTCACTCACTAGTCAACTTCCCACATTTTGCCATAGCAACAATGTTACGTCTAAGAAAAAACAGAAGCTTCATTTTGAAGCTTTCAAGTCTACGTATCAACCAGAAAACTTGTGTTGCTTAAAGTACCTTCTGCATTGTTTATTCTTTGTTTCAAAATTTGACACTGCAAAGCAATATCCATAAAGAGAAGCAGCACAGATGTTCAGGCACTTTCTATAATTGACAACTTAGGGGCCTGTTACTATAGTAAGTTGTCTTATCACGGCAGACAGACCTATAGAATATCTGTTGCATCTCAAAAGTAGGTGGTCCTCACACTGCTCTCCCTTGGTCTTATAAACTTGAAGGTGTTTAGCTTTGAAAATGACCCAAAACAGAACAGCCCTGTTCCCAGTTCTAAAGCCTACAAACCCAGGGGCTGAAAGGAGAGGGCTGGCCGATCCACACTGACATGGATGCCAGAGGACGCAAGGTATTCCAGGCAGGCTCATTACATAGAAACAACTCATAAACTAGTGACACAGGTATCAAAAAATGATATGCACATGTTCATATGTTCAAATTTGCACATGTAATGTGCAAACGATCAAGCAGTTCCTCAGCAAATTTGTAATAGTGAAAATACCTTTTTTCTCCTGGTGGCTCCGGTAAGCTGTAAGCTCTTTGCTCTACAAGACACAGAACAAGAAAATGAAAACTCAGGCAGACAAGCTAGCAGTCGTAGGTGAGTCTGAAATGCACACACTCAACCATGTTTTATCATTATGCACACCATCAGTTAGAAAATAATGAGAAAACAAGAATTTTAGAAAAATGGGACATTGCTCTGGATATCTTTATCACTTTGCATAGTTTGAAGCTGGAAGGAGGGAAGTCAAACCATGGCAACATTTAATGATTTCACGAACTGAGTCAGCATCAGCAAGGGGCAGCAAATATTTTCAGAAGTGCAGGAAATTAGTTCTGCTTTTTTGGAATTTCTCACCAGAGTTTCTTACTTTATTCATAACACTAATTCCCCAACACAGAGAATCAATAAATATCTTAGCTGCTTTTTAGGAAGCTCAAGGGAAAAGTCTTAAAGGCCAGCATAATGAAGAGGTCATTTTAATATAGCTGCAATGCCTTTATAAAATCCTAGCAGCAGCCAGTTCAGAGGTGTGCTTTGTGGCTCATGGGAAACAGAGAACGAACCACCTTTCCCATTGGACTTGTGGGGGCCTGGAAGAGGCTAGCTCATGCAAACAGCTTAGCGCCATCTTGTTTCTGGAACTGGAGTACTTACTACAGGGATGAAGCAGAGACACTGACTTAGACAGTGAGAGAGACTGAAGGAGGGAACGGCCACTGTGGAGGAGCACGCCATCTACAGAGCAGGGACAAATTCTTTACCATTACAATCCAGAACAGTGAAGAGGCAAAACTAGGTTGCAAAGGGGGATGAGCCAAATATATCAGGAGGAAAAACAATAAATAAATATTTCCCAAAATGTATAAGTATTAATGTTGACCCTAATACTGTCTTGTACCTAATAGAAAACCTATTTTGAAGAAGTTGAAGGCTTTATTTTATAGCCATTACTGAGTGTTTTTCAAATTAACTAGTGAGCAGAAATCATTATCTGTATTTTAAATAGGCTGAGGTACAAAGGGAATAAGCCATGTGTACAAAATAATCAATTGGATTATACAATATGGATAGAGCACAACCTAGGCAACTGGGCAAAGTCTAATAGGATTCTATCCATCAGTTCACAATAACTTTAAAAATATGTTTATTTCACTTCTCAAATTCTTAAATGTACAGTCCCTTTTGTCATCTTGGTGAGACTATGGATACCATTTCAATATTGGCAACGCTTCTTTCTATCTCAACTCAAAATGTACCAAAGGGAATTATAGGATTGGATTTTGTGTTATGTATGAGCATTAAGCAATAAAGTTGCCACCACTGTACTCTTCAGATACTGAATTTTTACACAAATAACACGTGCCTTCTTTGTTTGCCAACTGCTCCCTCCCCTCGCAAGGGATTTTCATAAGCTCCACTATGTCATTTTTTTTCACATGTTGCTGTAAAAAAAAAAAAAAAAATTAGCACAGTGCTTACAAAAATATGTTGCAGCAGGGAGGGCACAGTTGGCAAACAAACATAGAAGTTCATGTTATTTGTGTAAAAATATGGTAGATAGATAAAAGGTATGAGAAATGATAATAACCTATGGAGGTGACAAAGAAGGAAGAACAACACAAATAGGAATAAAGACTGAAAGTGCATCCTATCTTTGTATATTTGTATTACAGCCCATATATATGAATCCGAAAGGATACTTGGACTCCGTTTAAATAGAATTTTTAGGACTACTGAAAACTCATGAAAAAAGGATTTACACAACACAAATGTCAATTTACTTCTGAGTGATCGATACAAACTAAGCAATGAAACATTAGAAATAACTTTGAACTAGTCAAGCTTTCACATCTATGTTTTGACGACATAAAAGTAGTGAAAATTATTCCTTCTTCAATAGGAGTTAATTTATTCTACACAGTCCATGGTTTTTGACTGATCTAAATGGTATCAAGAGCCCTGGTGGCATAGTGCTTAAGAGCTACAGCTGCTAACCAAAAGGTCAGCAGTTCGAATCCACCAGCCACTCCTTGGAAACCCTATGGGGCAGTTCTACTCTGTCCTATCAGGTCGCTATGAGTTGGGATTGACTCAATGGCAACAAGTTTGTTTTTTTTAATGGTATCAATCTGGACATTTGCAACCATACTGACCTATGCATTAGAATACAGGCATCTTTGTACATTTAGTTTGTAGCCTCAGCCTAAATTACCTGGTTACAATTCTTACCTTCTGGATAGTATTAAACTTCATTTATATAGCTGTGTCTTTAAATATACTGTCAAAAGATAAGGTTTTATTCATAGAAAAACCAAAGGTATTGATGTCATCTCTTTATTCTTTCCAATTCCAAAGCAAAGATTTACAGATTGTATACAAGGCAAAGATACCCACCCTTACTCATTACAAAATACCTAAGTCAGGGCTCTTTTCTCTTATAAATAATCAATTTCCTCTTTGTCATCTGGTCAACAGTTCCAAACTCTGACTTACAAATCAAGGACATCACAGATATAGAGGCAAGGCCACCAATCTGCAAACTGCACAGAAGATCTCAGTGTTTTCCCATCAATTACAGTGCAAACTTAACAGTACTGCTCAGTGAAAGGGTGGCAAACTGCCATACAAAGGAATCTCAACCTAAACTAAGCTTAGAGAGACCTGAAGACCTTAGAAAGACCCATGGTATAACAAGAAAAATCCAGGGTAAATGCAAAGCATCTTCCTTTTCCTTTCCTCCCAAGGTAGCTGTATGCTGTCTTATTTTCTCTTGGTCTTTTCTCCATGTCCCCACTTCAAAAATAAAACTTACACATTTACTACCAGTCTTGCTTTCTCTTCTTCCAATATCACTTCCCACAAAACAGGGGAAAGAAAACTCACATTTGGTAGCACTTGTTTTGTATTTTTTATATTTTGTCTACTATATCTATTCAACAAACATTATTGCCCATCTTCCACATACAAGTCATTGTTTTAGGATGGTAGTTCTAAGCACAAAGGCTATAGTTTCAACATTTGATCCATATGGCATAAAAAATGCAAAAATTATAATAATAATAAGGTAATATGCAAGAATAAGAAAAAGAAGGAGAAGGAGGAGGAAGGAGTAAAAGAAAGCCTATTTTAAATATTTTATTTTGGGAAGCTGAGAATACCTAAGCACATTTCTTGCTTTTTGAGTCTGTTAAGATTCTCTGGATAAGAATCAAGAAAGATAATATTTACTATATTGAGAAGACTTTTTGTTATAATGCTATTATTAAAGATTGGGAAGGATATATCCTAATACGCTCTTAAACATAATTATTATATAATGGTGTATTATATGACAGTATTATTTACAGAAAGTATAAAATAACTACATTTCAAAATAAAGTGGGAAACAGGTAGTGATTGGGAGGGCATACAAGGCAGTTTCTGAGTTGCTTATAATTGTTCTATTTCTTCATATGAACTAACTTTTGAAAATTCATCAAGCTGTACAATGATGATTTGTGTATATATGCTATAGTTCAATTAAAAGTTTATTATATAAAAGTTACATTTCTGATTGTTTACATTGCCAAAAAAATGTTGAGATATGTTTACTTGTGCTTCAAATATTGTTTGAATGTTTCCTATTGTTTCATGTTTCTGTTATTCCAACTCTCCAAAGTCACTCGCTAAAAAAAAAGGAAGAAAGGAAGGAAATTCATTTCGCAGTGCTAATTTATTTCAGAAATTTATATATAGAAGTAAATTTTTTATAATTTACTTAAATAAAATCCTCTAAAGACCTCACAATAAGATATCTAGAACCAATTTTAATCTACATTAGCCTTCAGGAAAACATTTTATTCAAAGAACAAAGCAATAGAGAGGTGTGCATATATTTGTAATTTCATCAAAATCAAATCAATAACTTGACTGATATCCAATGACACAAGGATGTTGCTAAGCTTAGAAAAATAAATTATGAAGATTGAATTGAAAATTCTGACCTACTGCTCTAGTATATATTATGTACTTTCACTAACTGAAAGTCTACCCTGGAATAGAATGCTTTCAAAGCCAAATGGCAAATAATGCCTACCTTCACTTGAATTGCATACTGTAAAATCAGGCACCACCCGAGATTTTCCTAAAGAAATTTTGGGTGATGAGCAGGAATAAGAACGCGATCGGACTCCAGAAAGCAATGATTCCTAAAAGAGATCATAAAGAGGTTAATAAAAAAAAAATTCTACATAAGACTTGGAAGTATGTGTTCACTATGAATGTTACAAAATCAATATCTTTGGAAGAATATTCAACCTGAACATTTCTGATACAATCTTATCAAATATTTGTTTTCTTTTGCCTTTCACAACTTTTAAAATGTTATTGTCTTTTTAATGCTTTAGTAAACTTGAGCTTTTGGGAATAGTTACTATATATACTTTAGGATGTGACTGTGACATTCCAACCAGGTTGACAAAAAGTGAAATATTAAGTCAAATGACATTTTCTCTGTACATTCAGCAATGAGTTTGACTGTTTTTTTTAACCTGAGTTATCAGTTATTTTGGTGTTGTTCAATACTGTATATCAGTAATGAAACAGCATTTAGACAAAATTGTATGCTATTAACTGAGATCTCTATACTTAAAGGTTATTAGAAGGTAAAGGAATAGCCATTTACAATTATCAGAATTTTTTAAACCTCCAAACAGCTATTTTAAATGTATACTATTTAAATTTATACTCTTAGTTGCAGTTTCTGGGAAAGACATATCAGATCAATACACAGATCTTTCTAGTCTGTGCTCATTGTTCAATAGACCTTCCATCTAGCTATTTCTGGGATAATGCTTGAATATCATTGATTTGTCTTTATTTTTATTCCTTTTAAATGACTTTCCATTTTTGTTCCTGTTTTTCCACTTATATATTATTTCTATTATTATACTAGCAATACACGTAAAAAATTAAGATTATTAAATGTAGAAGGATTGAAATGTATTTTTTTAATATGCTCTAGAAAATTTAAACGAAAATGCAACAGATCTCTCTTAAAGCCATTCATGGTACCCAACTGCCATCGCTAAGATGCCTAGTGGCTTTAGGATTGATTTCATCCATTCATTTTCAAGATACCACTTAAGGTTAGCGCTAAAGGAAAATAATGCAAAATTTGTTACTAAAATTAAGCTATCAGTGACTGTCCTTCACAATCTCTGGCCTCTTCTGTTCCCTTAAGTGAAAACAGACAGTTGCCCTAAGTTCACCGGTTTACTTAAAGAGCTTGGGGGAAAGTAAAGAGCAGAAAAATGACCCTGCTACAAAGGGCCCTGGGCAGTGGCTCCCTACTGTCTTGTCAGGGAGCATGGTTTCCCAACCCCCATCCCCACCACATCCTCAGAGCCTGGAATCCATATCAGAAAGGCCAGTTTGAGCTGTCCTACAGCCCCAACAGTGACCTGGCCACAAAGCGACTTAGCCAAATGCCACCTTCTACATTTAAGTCAAATATGGTAATCACTGTTCATGATAATGAGATTTTGAAAATTGTCCAGAACCCTTAAGCAAAAAGTTACACTAGGTAATTACAGAGGCAAGGCAAGATATATTTTATAGGCCTGATTCTTCTTAAAAGTAAACAACATGGAACTGTTTTGCAAAGAATGACTTTTTCACTCCAAGTAATGTTGACTTTTTAATAATTTCATTCAAGATGCAAAACTAAGAAGTATCTACATTAACAACCATGCCCATTTCTGAGTCTCCAAAACTATCACATGATCTTGAGGTTTAAAAGATGATGACAGCTCTACAGGCTTCAGAGCTGAGGGAAGGGATCCAGGACCTGCCGTCAGAAGACCTGGATTTGAGTTCTGACTCTTTTACTAAGCCTGGGCAGCCTGGACAAGACATCTAACATTTGGAACCTCATTTGGAACCTCATCTGCTCAAAGTAAAATAAAATAAAAGCACTTCCTATGTCGCAGATGAGTTATGAGAAAATAATATATTATTACATACTTAAAACATGTTTTGTATATTGTAGGACATGCTCCAAAAATAAGGCATTATTATAATAACCATATGTTTGTAGTAAGAGGAGTTTTGGCATAGCATATATTGTTTTACAGTAGTAAAGTCATGTTACAAGAAAACAAGTAGACAATAATATAAATCAAATAGAACGAAAACATATGTTCAAAAACAATAGGGCTTTCTCAGCAAGATTAGAGGAGTAAATTCACTTATTTTTTTAAGAAACAACCACAGCAAAATAAAATTCCAATACGAAATGGCCAACAACAGAAAACCTGGCTTTTATGGAAAACTTGACAAAGTTTACGGTGTTCCAGGTTAGGTCACACAGCCAGGAATGGTCAACAAACTTCGCCTATGCCTTACTAACATTATTTACCTCATCATCTGGGTCAAATAAAAATGCGGATGTGAGCAAAGCAAGCTTGAGAACTCAAACTCATTTAATACTACCAGTTTTTCTCCCTTGGGATGATGACAGAAATTATTGTATAAAATGGCAAAATTTTTGCAAGTATTTGAAAGATTATATGAACTTGTGATGAATTAATGAACATATATAAATCAGCTTTTATGAGTAAGGTCTATACAAATTAAAATAGAGTCAGAAAGATTAAAAAGAAACACTCAACTAGACCTCTCATGGATCTCCAAAAAATATAGTTAACACAAATGAATAAAGCATAATTTATCTTTCAGACAGTGATGGATAGATTTAGACAACTATATTAGACAACATATATTCCACACTTATAATTAACAGAATTAATAGTCATAAAAATACCTTTGACTGCAGATTACTTGAAAAAGAAAGTGATTCAGCCCTGGCGATATTAAAATCTGGTTCAGTATTAGTCTCAAAAGAGTCCAATTCATCACCACTAGGAATCCCAGTTCTTGAGGAACTCTGGGACACTGGAGTGTAACAAATGTGGGACTGCTCAGAGTGTCCTTCTCCTTCACTGTCAGCATCCAAAGCATCAAGGCTAGAACTAAAGCACAGAGTAATTAAGTAAATTATACAGATGGATGGATGGATGGATGGATGGATGGGTGGATGGGTGGATGGGTGGATGGGTGGATGGATGGATGGATGGGTGGATGGGTGGATGGGTGGATGGGTGGATGGGTGGATGGATGGATGGTTGGGTGGTGAATGGGTGGATAGGTGGGGGGATGGATGGAGGGATGAATGGATGGATGGATGGATAATCGAGTGAGTCATTGGTTTCTATTTTTCTGAATTTAAATCCTCTCACTGGTGCGAAGTGCAAAGAATACTCAGTTTATTTCCAAAGAAATTTATATTTAAGTCATTTTTATTTTTTTCTCTTCCTAAATCTCCTCTTTAAAAAAAAAAAATTAAATCTCCTCAAATGAACCTTTCTTCCTAGCAAAAACTATTTCAAGTACTCTAAGAAACAAAAGCTGGTTTGAGTTAGTACTATCCTCAATTTCTATTTTGTAAAAGTAATTATTACAAGTTCCAAACAGTTACCCTTCCGATATTTAAATGCAGATGAAACAGAGCTACTGGCTGTTTGGACATAGCCTCCTCTCGGGAGAATTCGCATGTGAAAGTATGCACTGTGGCCTTCTCTCCTTTGTCCCTCAGCAGCATAGCTCCGTTGGACCCAGGCAAACGTAAGGAGAGCCCTGCAAAGGTCACACCTCAGAGCTGTTATCAAGGCACAGGTCAGAAATGAGTGATGTATGAGCTTCCAAACATGCCGTGTTAGATTATTATTTTTAGAGACTTTTTTAAAAACAATTCCTATGAGAAATCCACCCCAGAAACAGGTGGTGATTCTCCTCAACTACCGCTTTTTTTTCCTCATTTAATTTTCATAACTATAAAACTAAAAGGAAAGAATTTGACCTTTCACATTCCAGGTTCATTCTACAACATTTACATTTTGAACCACTCAGACTTCTAGGCCAACAGCTTTCTTTCACAGGCATGGTGGATTATTAAATGTACTTTTCATTGGTTGTTACCAGTCTGAAATTAAAATTTTAATCACAACACAATGAAACTGTCTTTATTTGAAATATAAAGAAGCAGAAAAATGAAACCTTGAATTAATCTGTTTGGGTTATTTTTATTAAAGAATCATAGGCTATTTAATCACCAGAACAAAAAACAAAAACCAGACCCACTGCTGTGGAGTCGACTCCAACTCATAGAGACCTTACAGGGCAGAGTAGAACTGCCCCATAGGGTTTCTAAGCCTGTCATCTTTACAGAAGTAGATTGCCACATCTTTCTCCCCGCAGAGCAGCTGGTGGGCCCCAAGCGCTGACCCTCCAGTTAGCAGCCAAGCACTTTAACCACTGCACCACCAGGACTCCTTATTTAATGGCCACAGAGTATCAATTTAATAAGTCATATGACTCTTTCAGCAGAGGTCTTATTATACACACCTCTAATGCGAACAGTTACATCAATGTGTAATCCTTGAATCACAGACACTCCTGGGCACCAGCAAATGGGGCAGTAAATAAAGATTATATTTGGCATCATTGAGGATTTCCAAAGTGAAGTTTCCTAGTTCAAAGACTCATCAAGGGCATTGAGGAGGAAAAGCAAAACAGAAGTGGATTTCACACTTTATCTGCATTCAAAACCCAAATATTTTGGAGTCCATCAAATTACTTCTCATAAAAGACTGAAGTTTAGTGTTAGAAAACCTTTCTGGCAGAGGTTGGTGCTTTTGCTTTTATCGTAATTTAATTACAAATATTTTAAGGTGCTATGTAGTTTCCAGAGCCCTAGTGGCACACTGGTTTAAGAGCTCGCTCGGCTGCTAACCAAGAAGTCAGCAGTTTGAATCCACCAGCCACTCCTTGGAAACCCTATGGGGCAGTTCTACTCTGTCCCATAGGGTTGCTGTGAGTCAGACTCGACTAGATTACCACAGGTTTGTTTTTTTGTTTTTTTCTGTGCATTTTTTTTTCTTTTAACGTAGTTTCCTAATTCAACGATCCTCTGAGGGTAGAAGGAGACCTCAAGGGGTGTCAAAGGCTTTACGATGTCTTGTGCTGCTACATTTGTCTTTCAACTTGTGACTATCGTACTACTGAAAATTAGTTCATTAAATGCTTGTCTGCCGGCAATAATATCCTATTCTAACACAAGCCTTTCCACTTACATACAGCATTTCTCCATCGCTATGAACACAACCTAGAAATACTAAGTGAGCATTATTTTATTTTGCATACTATACTTAAAAATATTTCTTTATTTATTCAAATTGGGCCACTACTTTTTTTATTAAGCTATTAACCTAACTTACTTGCTTGGTATTATAGACGATATTCTTCATGATTATCTCTAGGTTTTTGTATTACAATAGTGTTTCTCAAGATCTCATTAGTGAAATATGAAATAAATTTGGTAGGTTTTGACCAGAAGTTTCTTGTAAAATAATACAGTATAGAAACTGTCAGACTATATTCCACATACTATTTCATAAAACTTTTGTTTAAATCTAGTATGTGCATGTACCGGAAGAGACAGTTGAAGGTATGACATGCATTTCTTTCTGTGGATTGCGGTAAAACAAAAAAAGGTTTGAAAACTACAAGTTTTAGAACTAAACAAACACTTGCCTTCTATCGCCTAATTTATTGTTGTACATTTTTAAAAACAGATGTTGTATTGCTTATTTCCCTCTTCATGACTTCTCAAAACAGCTATTCATTTAATAATATAATGGTTACATTTTTTGCATGTTTTACTTTCAACCGAAAGATTGTTTAAAACCTTAGAAACTTAGGCCCCAATACGCTTTGTCCATGTGTTAGCCCCAGTTTTTATTGTTGTTGTTAGGTGCCACCGAGTTGCTTCTAACTCATATCAACCTCACGCACAACAGAACAAAACACTGCCCGGTCTTTCTCCATCCTCACAATCACTGTTATGCTTGGGCCTACTGTTGCAGCCACTGTGTCAATCCCATCTCATTGAGGGTCTTCCTCTTTTTCACTGACCCTCCACTTTGCCAAGAATGATATCCTTCTCCAGGAACTAATCCCTCCTGATAACAAGTCCAAAGTATGTGAGACAGAGTCTCACCATCATTGCTTATAATGAGTATTCTGGCTGTGCTTCTTCCAAGACAGATCTGTTCATTCTTTTTTCAGTCCATGGTATATTCAATATTCTTCTACAACACCACAATTCAAAGGCATCAATTCTTCTTCGGTCTTCTTATTCATTGTCCAGCTTTAGCATGCAGATGAGACAATCGAAAACACCACAGCTTGAGTCAGGTGCACCTTAGTCTTCAAGGAAACATCTTGGCTTTTCAATACTTTAAAGGAGTCTTTCACAGCAGATTTGCCCAATGCAATGCATCTTCTGATTTCCTGACTGCTGCTTCCATGAGTGTTGATTGTGGATCCAAGAAAAATGAAATCCTTGACAACTTCAATCTTTTCTCTGTTTATCATAATGTTGCCTATTGGCCATTTGTGAGGACTTTTGTTTTCTTTATGTTGAGGTGTAATCCATATTGAAGGTTGTGGTCTTTGATCTTCATCAGTAAGTGCTTCAAGTCCTCATCACTTTCAGCAAGCAAGGCTGTGTCATCTGCATAACACAGGGTTCTTAATGAGTCTTCCTCCAATCCTGATGCCATGTTCTTTTTCATATAGTCCAGTTTCTCAGATTATTTGCTCAGCATACAGACTGAATAGGTATGATGAAAGGATACAACCCTGATGCATACCTTTTCTTACTTTAAACCACCCAGTATCCCCTTGGTCTGTTTAAATGACTACCTGTTGATCTATGTACAGGTTCCTCATGAGCACAATTAAGTGTCCTGGAATTCCCATTCTTCACAATGTTATCCATAATCTATTATGATCCACACAGTTGAATGCCTTTGCATAGTCAATAAAACACAGGTAAACATCTTTCTGATAGTCTCTGCTTTCAGCCAGGATCTGTCTGACACCAGCAATGACATCCCCCTTCTGAATCCTGCTTGAATTTCTGGCAGTTCCCCGTCGACATACTGCTGCAGCTGCCTTTGAATGATCTTCAGCAAAATTTTACTTGCGTGTGATATTAATGATATTGTTCGATAATTTCTGCATTCAGTTGGATCACCTCTCTTGGGAATAGGCATAAATATGGATCTCTTCCAGTCGGTTGGCCAGGTAGCTGTCTTCCAAATTTCTTGACAGAGATGAGTGAGTACTTCCAGCGCTGCATCCGTTTGTTGAAACATCTTAGTTGATATTCCGTCAATTCCTGGAGCCTTGTTTTTCACCAATGCCTTCAACGCAGCTTGGACTTCTTCCTTCAGTACCATTGGTTCCTGATCATGTGCTACCTCTTGCAATGGTTGAACATCGACCAATTCTTTTTGGTACAGTGACTCTGTGTATTCCTTCCATCTTCTCTTGATGCTTCCTGCGTCATGTAATATTTTCCCCGTAAAATCCTTCAATATTACAACTCAAGGCTTGAATTTTTGCTTCAGTTCTTTCAGCTTGAGAAATGCCAAGCGTGTTCTTCCCTTTTGGTTTTCTAGCTCCAGGTCTCTGCACATGTCATTATAATATTTTACTTTGTCTTCTCCAGGCGCCCTTTGAAATCTTCTGTTCAGCTCTTTGACTTCATCATTTCTTCCTTTTGCTTTAGCTACTCGACCTGCAAGAGCAAGTTTCAGAGTCTCTTCTAACATCCATTAGGTCTTTTCTTTCTTTCCTGTCTTTTTAATGACCTCTTGCTTTCTTCATGTATGACATTCTTGATGTCATTCTGCAACTCATCTGGTCTTTGGTCCTTAGTGTTCAATGCATCAAATCTATTTTTGAGATGGTGTCTCAATTCAGGTGGGATATACTCAAGGTCATACTTTGGCTCTTGTGGACTTGTTCTAATTTTCTTCAGTTTCAACTTGAACTTGCATATGAGCAATTGATGGTCTGTTCCACAGTCAGCCCCTGGCCTTGTTCTGACTGATGATATTGAACTTTTCCATTGTCTCTTTCCACAGATATAGTCGATTTAATTCCTGTGTATTCCATCTGGCAAGGCCCATGTGTATAGTCCCCATTTATGTTGGTGAAAAAAGGTATTTGCAATGAAGAAGTCATTGGTCTTGCAAAATTTTATCATTCAATCTCCGGCATCATTTCTATCATCAAGGCCATATTTTCCAACTACTGATCTTTGTTCGTTTTCATCTTTCACATTCCAATCACCAGTAATTATCAATGCATCCTGATCGCATGTTCCATCAATTTCACGCTGCAGAAGTTGGTAAAAATCTTCAATTTCTTCATCTTTGGCCTTAGTGGGTGGTGCATAAATTTGAAAAATAGTCGTATTAACTGTTCTTCCTTATAGGCATATGGATATTATCCTATCACTGACAGCGTCGTACTTTAGGATAGCTCTTGAAATGTTCTTTTTGACGAGGAATGCAACACCACTCCTCTTCAAGTTGTCATTCCCAGCATAGTAGACCATATGATTGCATGATTCAAAATGGCCAATACCAGTCCATTTCAGCTCACTAATGCCTAGGATATTGATGTTTATGTGTTCCATTTCATTTTTGACGATTTCCAGTTTTCCTAGATCCATGCTTCGTACATTCCACGTTCCAATTACTACTGGATGTTTGCAGCTGTTTCTTCTCATTTTGAGTCGTGCCACATCAGCAAATGAAGGTCTTGAAAGCTTGACTCCATTTCACATCATTAAGGTCAACTCTACTTGAGGAGGCAGCTCTTCCTCAGTCGTATTTTGAGTGCCTTCCAGCCTGAGGGGCTCATCTTCTGGCACTGTATTAGACAATGTTCTGCTGCTATTCATAAAGTTTCACTGGTTAATTCTTTTCAGAAGTAGATTGCCAGGTCCTTCTCCTTAGTCTGTCTTAGTCTGGAAGTTCAGCTGAAACCTGGCCGCCATGGGTGACCCTGCTGGTATTTGAATGCCAGTGGCATAGCTTCCAGCATCACAGCAACACGCAAGCCCCCAAAGTATGACAAACTGACAGACGTGTGGGGGAGTTTTTATTGTGAGCCCCCTAAATTCCACTTTATTAGAAGTTCCCGGTCTCTAGGTCTATTTACTCACTTACCACTGAGTTAGCTGCATTTCACTTTGAATCCATTATCAAACGTGTTATAACTCCCACCATGCCACCCATGAAGTGAGGGTCCCACTGCCACGCCAGGGCCAAACAGGGCTTCCAGGGATTACAAGTCCTCTCCCTCGTTCTCACATAATTCAGAGGAGAGGCGGGGCATAGGAGATAAGGTTTGCCAGTGGGAACTGTCAGAGGGTTTTCTTCTCCTCCTTCTTTGTCTTCCTCTCTGAGCTATGACACCTTTACAAAGGCTTCTAATTACTTTGACTCAGACTGAATAGCTTTTCTAAAGAGGCACAATTCTATCTCTAGCAGTGAAATGTTTAAACTTGGGCAAGACCATGATCAGAAAATATAATTTAGACAGCCTGTGAATATTTGTGTAAACAGAACAACGAGTTCATCTGTGTCTTTTCCCGCCATAGATGCCTAGAGCAAAGGAGCCCTGGTGGTGGCCCAACAATTAAGAGTTCCGCTGCTAACTGAAAGGCTGGCAGTTCAAACTCACCCAGTAGCTCCATGGGAGAAAGACCTGGCAACCTGCTTCCATAAAGATCACAAAAATTACAGCCTAGAAAACCCTAAGGGGCATTTCTATTCTGTCACATGGAGTTACTATGAGTAGAAAACAGACTGAATGGCACCCAACAAAACCGCAACATCCCTAGAGTGCTTCCTCTAACGAATGTATTTTACCTCTTGAGACCTGGAGCGGGTGGGGGTGGGGGGAGGAGTGGTGGATTGCAAACCTGACACTTCTTTAAGATCCTACTAGAATGCATTAATCACACACAGTTAAATCTATTTTTGCAGAAACGTATAGAATCTTGCCTTGACTGGCAGCCTCTGGTCCTAGCAGAGCAGCTGACAGTTCCAAGTAGATACACTAAAACCCAAAATATTCTATCAATTCAACCTACAGTAATGATATAATTCACAAAATACAGATCTATAGACAATCTTTTATTATTTATGTATCATACATAACCCCGAGGTATCAAAACCTGTCACTTAAAAAGTCTGACATCTTCAAAAAGTTGTTCTATTTGTGCACAAAGTACTCAGCACAATGACTGGCACTAAGTGACTGCCACCTCATTTCCCTTTCTCTTCTTTCTGAACAATCAAATCTCTGCTAATACTCATTCACCTATGTGGTTATTTATGCACAGATATTTATACGCACACATCGCACACCTTTATATGTGTGTTTATTTACTCTTTGAACCATGGTTATATGTGTTAAAATGAGCATATCACCCTAGAGCTAGGATGAGGTAAAAATAGGCTATTTTCTGAAGAAAATGGGCAACACAATAAAATGAAATTAGTGAAAACTGGGCTATTCCCTGAGGAAAATAGACAACAGGATGGATGATGGACGAATGGACAGACAGACAGATACACATACATATATGCAATCATATCATATACATTAAAACCACACTTTTAATAACATTTTATACATATAAGAAAATACACGTAACACGAGTGTAAGTTATAGATCATAAAAATAAATACCTGTGAGCCCACCCAACTTCAAACTTGAACACTATCCAAAGCACTGAAGCTCTCTTTATGTTCCCTTCCATTCCCATTCCCCTACATCCCTCACTAAACATAACAATGATCTTGAATTTGACTTCTTTCCCTTTCTTCTCATTTTTCTTTATAGCTTAAACACGTGTATACACCCGATAGTAGTAAATTGTTTAATTCTGATTGATATTACATTTTATAAAAATGAAATCTAATTATTTTGTGGCTTACTTTTTTTGTTCAACATTATGTTTGTAAGATGCATATGTTATTTATGCATGTAGATGCAGTTCATTCATTTTCACTGCTGTACAGTATACTATTGTGTAATGACGCCACAATTTATGTATCCATTCCTAATTTGGATTATCTTCTGCCACTATAGTCATGCATATGTCTCTGAGTACATAGGAACGGGATTGCTGGATCATAGGGCATATGCCTGTTGAACTTTACAATATAATGTCACATTGTTTTCCAAAGTTAGTATACCACTTTTCACTCCTATCAGTAATATATAGGTGTTTCCACTGTATACATTCTTACCAAAGCATGGTATTGTTAGACTTTCTAATTTTGTCAATCTAGTAAGTATAAAATGGTTTCTCATCATGGTTTTGCTTTATTTTACTTCAGTCAGTTTAGTCTTACTTTCAACACATCAAATACAGGAACATAAAAGGGGACAACATTTTGATGAAGGAATAAAAGTAAATAAGGTAATATTGCATAATAAAAAAGAAAATAGAATTTTCCAAGTCCAACTACAAGGTTCTTTGATTTTCTACCTTGTCCCTCTAAAATATAGTATCTTACCTTCTTTTCTTCAGATGACTTTGTTCCTTTTCAAATCCATGCAGACCAAAAGAAAGATTCAAACTGGAAGCACATGAACTAGATGGTGATATGAAGCGCTGCTGGGCTTCAATGTTTGATGTCACTTCACTGTTTTCCCTTAGTGGGTACATACCAGGGCTGGCTTCACTAGGAAGGATGTTCTTGCAGCTCTGAGGCCCAAGAGTGGAACCTATGGATTCAGGGTTGGTATTGGCAGTGATTCCTTCTATGTTAATATAGTTCATATCCAAATCACCAACCTGTTAGTTGAAAGAAAAATATTTGCTGAGCAAAAACAGAAAAGATCGGCTTAGCTAAAAATTAAGTTTTCCCAATTTAAAAACCTTTCACTCTGTTTATCTTTTTTACCATGTTTGTTTTTATTTTATGTAAACAAACATACAATTCTTTCATGGTATGTTTTTATTCAGTTGGTTGCTATCCCATAATCCACAGAAAGGAAGAAAACCAACTGAGTGTTTCATAAAGCTTACAAACTAAGAAACAGATAATGCTTTTAACATTTTATGAATCACTGACACAAAAGGAGGGAGAAAATTTTAAATACTTGAGAGAAAAACTAAAGATTAGACAGCTTTTTTCAAAAAGGAATAGAAATCCAGGTAACTAAGGTAACTGTGGTTGCATAAATCTGAGTCCCTCAAATCATTACCAAACAAAAAGAATGAATAAAACTACATAAAATGCATGCACTCAGAATAACGAAGCAAGAAAATTTCCCAAACCTCATATTACCTTTAAATGATAAAATAAATATCAAACTCCAGCAAGCAATCTCTCATGCTCCCACCACAAGCCTTCATGGAAAATAAGGGCAGTCTAGAAAAATCTGCACAGCAGAGAAAAGAGGGAAGCTAGTGGGAGACCTAAGATTGATCTAAAAATCACCACTGGAAAGAGGAAGTCCACCCTACATGTGTGAAAAAGAGCCCTGATGGATCAAAGCACTTGCTTTAGAAAAGGACTTAAAGTATTTGTAATTTGAAGTGGCAGTCATCAAAGAGCATTGCTTTTGGGGAGAAGACAGTAAAAAAGAAGTAAGCAATATCCTTTAGAGATTGGGTGGTAAAGGGAAAAAGAAGTAAGAAGAATATCTAGAGTCCTAGATCAAAGAACACACAACTTCTCTTCCCACTACCAAGGGAAAATGTCATCATTAGAGAAAATGTTCTGTACTTCATGGTCAGAAGAGGTCACTGTTGAACCACAAATCTTGAAAACCATTTCAAATCCATGAAATAAACAGGCAAAAGTAATTAAATCTATAAAGAACAATCACACAAAAACAGGAAATGGGAATGCCTCCCGTAATCCATTGCCGTCAAGTCAATTCCAACTCATAGTGACCCCACAGAGGGGAGTGGGAATGCCTCAGCTGATCAAATCCCCACTGCACTCCCTAAAAAAAAAAAAAAAAAAGCTTGTAATCCAAAAATGAAAAACATAAATAAACACAAGAAGAAATAAAAAGGGTTGATTGGAATAAGAAATGAAACAAAAAGATAAACTCATCTGAGAGATAAAGATTAAATTTTACAAGGCACCCAAAAAGGAATAAAGTCAAATGAAAATTTAATAAGGGGAACTGAAGAAATGCATGAATATAATAAGAAAAAGAAATAGATAAATAAAAAGGATCAGAAAGTTTATTGAAATGATAGATAAGCACAGAAAAACAACATATGCATACTTGGAGTCTCTGAAAGAGAAAAGCAAAACAATGAAACAGAACTATTATTTAAAACAAAATCTGAGAAAACTTTCACTAAATAAGAGACAAATTTAATCAACAAATTGAACAGACCCACTGAGTACTGCATTATGAGTACCCAAAGGGATCAACTCCAAGACATAGTCTAATAAAACTATTAAACTTTAAAAGTAAAGAAAAAATACTACAGGTTCCAAGCAAAAAGACCAAATAACTTATAAGGGTGAGATAATTAAGGGTGAGATAATCAGGCTTCTCAGCTGTAACATACAAAGTAACAAAACAATGAAAGAAGATTTTTATAAACTCAAGGAAATAAAGTGTGAATCAATGTTTTATATCTAACCTCACTAAATTCAAATATCAAGGTTATAGAAAAACAGTTGTAAACATGCAAGAACTCAGGGAATTTGGTACTCATGAACACTTCTTCAGGAACCTACTAAATTATTGACTTTCTCCAACCAAAAATAACTAGAGAAATTTCAGCAAAAGGACTGAGAATGAGTATTCAATATATTTAATTTTAGACCTAAGACGAAAACAAAGGTGGGAATGAAGGGGGAAAACTCCATCATTGGTTATATGTTATATGTTTTGAATAAGTAGAAATAATCTAACTTAAAAAAATGAGAGAAGAAAGTGTAAAAAAGAAAAGTTGAGCAAGCTCATCTTTTTTTATATTGGCAATAAGTAAGAAAAGAATACCATTACAAACTGACAATGCAAACAGAAAAATTTAAGAAAGAAAACGAAAAGTAAAAAGATACAAGTACAATGAGAACCAAAGGAATTGTAAAAAAGAAAAGACTAAAGAAAACACATCATGAAGGGAAAGAACAACAGCAAATATAACATATACACATAAAAATGGTATCATAAAATAATATGACAGAGGTGAGACCAAAGGAATAAGTTTTAGCAATAAATGTTAATGGTCATAATCCAACTATTAAAAGAAAAAGATTTTCAATTTGGCCTACAAAGTAAGTCCCACCTATATACAATATACGAGGGATGTACTTTTAAAGCAAAGTGACTCAAAATGGTTAAAAATTCAGGGATGGGTAAAGGTATAACAGGCAAATGCAAACAATAAGAAATCCTGATTATCAGGCAAAGTGTAATTCAAGCCAAAAGTATTAAAATTACCAAAAGAGGGCACTTTTTAATGTAAAAAGCCACCATTCACGATTAAAGAGGTATGAATGTCTATGCAACAAATAACACAACAAACACTTTTATAAAACAAAAACTGTAGAAGATGCAAGGAGACATAGATAGAAACATTCAAATAATAAGAGACCTTAATACATCACTTTCTATAGAAGATAGATCAAGAGTACCAAATATAAATAAGAAGATAGAAGATCTGAACAACATAATCAATAATGTACATAGTGTGGATATATATCTAATTTTAGATCCTTATAATAGAAAATATACCTTTTACTAAAGTGCAGAATGAACAGTCACAAAAATCGATGATGTATTAGGTCACAAAGAAAATATCAGTAAGTTCTATGAAGTAGGAATATTAAATAATACTCTAAGACAATCCAATAAAACAAAAAATGATTAACAAAATCAACAGAAAGTCTCTAACACCTGGAAATTAAAAAAAAAAAAAAAACCTTTATAACAAAACTCTTGAGTGAAAGGAAAAATACAAATTAAAATTACAGAATTTCTACTAAATAATGATAATAAAATCATTATATATCAGAATCTGTGAGAATAGATTAAAGTCACTGTCTTAAACATTTTTATCAATAAAAATGGAAGAATGAAAATAAATAATTAAATTAATTGCCAAAAAAGCTACAAAGACATTAACAAAATAAACCAAAAGAAAGTGCAAGAAAGAAAATAATAAAGATAAATCAGAAATAATGAGCTGAGCGATAGACTATAACACAGTATAGTCAATTAATAATTTTTAAAATGAGACCTTGATTTAACAAAATAGACAAATCACTAGCTAACTTAATAAGGGAGAAAGTACAAATATACAAAATAAGAAATGAAAAAGGTATGCATCCATTGAAACAGAAGAGCTATATATATACATACATATATTTTAATTATGAGACTATATTGTAGACTCCTATGCAAATAAATTTGAAAACCTAGGTAAAATAGATTAATTTCCTAAGGAAATTAGTGATACTAGACCCTATAAGAGATAAAACAGTCAAACAGACCAATATTCATAAAAGAAATAGAAAAAGTTATCAAAGAACTACTCTACAAAAAAGCACCAGGCTCAGAAAGTTTTGTAGGTGAATTCTAGCAAAATCTGTAAAGAACAAATAGTCTCCATGCTCCAAAAAGTGTTCTACAACACTGAAAATGAAGAAAAGCTTCCTAATTCAATTCATGAAGCAAATATGCCACTGGTATCTAAGTCTGATAAAGAGAATAAAAAAATTACAGAATATCATTTATGAGTATTCATGCAAAAGTTCTAAATATTAGCAAACAGTCCTATACAACATTAAGAAAAGAATATACCATGACGAAGTGTTACTTATTCCAGGAATACAAGGTTAGTTCAATGTTAGGATATCCATTAGTATAATATACCATATTAATATCTCTAAGGGGAAAAATCAATTATCCCCCATAGATGCTGAAAAACCTTTGAAAAATTCATTTTTTTCCTTATTTAAAAAAAACTCAAGAAAATAGCAATTGATGGATATTATTCTCAATCATGTAAAACATACATATATACACACACATGCATATACACAAGCATTTACATTTGTCAGTGTATAAATATATCTTAGTCCTAAAGCTAGGCTTTTATTCAATAAAGAAACACTAGAGGCATTTATATTAAAATCAGCAACAAGAAAAGGATATCCCAGATGATATGATAATATATCTGGAAGACCCTAGCAAATAGATGATAAAATTCACTCAATCAATTAAAAAAAAAAAAAAAAGTAATGTAGCAGGATATAAAAATAACATACAGAAATTAATCATTTTAATTTACCCAAATAGTAACAAGTCAGAGAGTATAGAGAAAACGCCACTGATAATAGCAACAAAAATAATAAAATAATTAGAAATAAACTTAACAAGAAATTGGCAAAACATATATAATGAAAACATTCCTGAAAGGCATAAAGTAGACTTGAACAAATGGAAAGACATCTCTTGTTCTTCAACAGCAAGTGTCAACATCATATAGGAGCCCATTCTCCCTAAGTTAATTTACAGAGTCATTACAATTCCAATAAAAATACCAACATACTTTCTTAGCAGGCTGAAAAGGTAATACTAAGTTCATGTTAAAATAAACACTCAAGAATACTCAGGAAGCGGAAAAGGAAAAACTATGGAGAGAAACAAGCCATGGTCAATATCAAAACATACTATAAGAGCCTCTATAATTAAAGCGTGAGATATGGTGCATTAACTGACAAACAGACCAACAGGATAAAATGAAAAGTCCAGAAATGGACCTGTATATATATTCCAGAAATAGACCCACATATAGCATATGATAGAGATGCT